GGGAGGGGGGTTAGGGTGGGGCAGAGAAGAAGGGAATTGTCTGCTCTGGCGTCTTCTAAGAAGACCTCCTAACCCTCCCACGTGACCAGGAGGCAGAGCACAAGCACTTGGGTCTCTTGGAAGGTCCTGGGCTCTTGTGGGTGGAGGGGCTGGGTTCGGGCCTAGGCTGTGCCCCTTTCTGGGAATGCAGGTCCCCAACATCTGGACCCAGGAATCTGGGGCTGCAGGAGAATCCCAGCCAGCAGGGCCCAGGAGCCTAGGGAATCCAGATGCTTCTCCATCCACACCATGGAGGCCTGCCCTCCTGGGACTTTCTGGCTTAGTTCCCCAGGGGCTTTAGGAGGGTTGGGGCCCCTCGATTTCAGGAGCAAGTTCCATTCATCCCACAAGATGGCCCCACAACACACCCAAGAGCCCCCCTGCCCAGCCCTCAGGCCTCAGCCGTCAGCAGGCCCAGTGCTGTGCTGAGCCTCTCCCTTTGCTGCAGAGGCTCCCAAGATCCGTGTGCCCCGCCACCTGCGTCAGACCTACACCCGCCAGGTGGGAGAGACGGTCAACCTGCAGATTCCCTTCCAGGTGTGTGTGGGAATCAGGGTACCAGCTTGGGTGGAAATCAGGGCCCCTTTGGGTTGGTCACAAGAGCCCAGGAAATGTCAGGATCTCTGTGGGGGGTCTGTCTGGGACCCCCCCAGAGGCTCCACCTCCTGCACGTTCTCCAACCTGTGGACGGGGCAGCTCGCCCCAAGGCTGGCTGGACATCCATGGGTGACAGTCTGAGCAGCAGCTGGGGCTCCAGCCTCTGCTGCCCCTCCTGGGAGGACTGGTGGGGATGGCTCCCTGCACACAGCTCCAGAGACCCCAGTGTGGGGTGGCTGTAGGTGCTGGCACCTCCCTGCACACCCTGAGGGCTCCTCCCTCCCAGGGGAATCCCAAGCCTCAAGTCTCGTGGACCCACAACGGCCAAGCTTTGGACAGCAAGAGAGTGAGCGTGCGCACCGGGGACCAGGACTCCATCCTCTTCATCCGCTCGGCCCAGCGCTCAGACTCAGGCTGCTATGAGCTCACTGTGCGGCTGGAAACCCTGGAGGCCCGGGCAGCCATCAACATCTTGGTCATTGGTATGGGGCAGAGGAGGCAGCGTGCCTCCCAGGGGCCAGACACCCCCACCTCCTACACCACAGCTGACGCTCATGGGGTCAGGCCAGGGGAGTGTGATAGGAGCAAGATCCTGGGGGTGGGGGTTGTCGGGCCAGCCCAGCCCGCCCCCTCACCCCTCCTGACACTGGTCCTGCAGAGAAGCCCAACCCGCCCAGCAGCATCCGGCTAGTGGACGTCTGGGGCTGCAATGTGGCCCTCGAGTGGACGCCGCCCCAGGACACCGGCAACACTGAGCTTCTGGGCTACACGGTGCAGAAGGCGGACAAGAAGACAGAGGTGAGGCTCCCGGGCCAACCTGGGTGGGGAAGTGTGAGTGGGGCGAGGGAGGAAGTGGACCAGGTGGGGGGAAGGCCCAGCCCACTGAGAGTTGGGGACTGAGCTCAGGTCTGCCTACCACTGGCCTGACTCCTCCTGCGGCTTTAGGCACGACCCCTTTCATCTCTGGGCCTCATTTCCCCCATGAAGACTGCAGGGGGCGGGGGAGGGGGGAAGATGCTCTCTGAGGACCCCAGAGAGGTCACCCGAATGACCCAAAATGACTCCGAGAGGTCACCCGAATGACCCAGAGGCCCCTCCTCCCAAATTGAAAGTCCCTCAGGCCCAAGGTAGATGCTGCAGCCTCCCCGGGGAGTAGCAGCCGGGTGAGCAGGAGGGTGAGGTGGGTGGGCTGTGATGACAGGGCCGGGTCCCCGCAGCAATGGTTCACCGTGCTGGAGCGCTACCATCCGACCTCCTGCACCATCTCCGACCTCATCGTGGGCAACTCGTACTCCTTCCGGGTCTTTTCGGAAAATCTATGTGGACTCAGCGACTCGCCCGCCATCACCAAGGAGCTGGCCCACATCCGGAAGATAGGTAGGTCTGGGCCTGGACAGGAGGTAAGCCAGGCCCAGCAAGGCTGACTCTCTCCCCATCTCCATCACCTCTACCTTCTCCTGGTGTGTTAGCTGCCCTCTCTGAGGACTCCTCATGGATGCCACTCCACACACAACTATGCACACACACAGCCATGCACACATACAGCTATGCACGAACACACAGCCATGCACACCAATGCACACACAGCCATGCACAGCTGTGCACGCACAGCCATGCACACACACAGCCACGCGCACACACAGCCATGCACAGCCATGTACACACACGCAACTGCAAAGGGATGGATGTGGTGGATGATTGAACAAGTACATCCAAGTGTCTCATGCAAATAAGAAGGGTCCCTTGGGAGAGGGAGACTGTGTATTTTTTCCACAGATGCCCTGTGGCTGCCGACATCAGAGTGGTCATTAGGCCTCACGTGCACTGTCCCCAAAGAACCAGCATGAGGGCAGTGGGGACAGTGGGTTCTGGCAAGTTTGCTGATAGCACAGACCTCCAACCCTAATATAACTCCACGTGGATGGATGGGAGACACTCGGCATTTACTCTCTCCACACGGGGCAAGACCCCTCGCGTCGAAGGTTAAATCCCAGGCCCGTTCTCCATCACCCTGCGTGCTCCAAGGCCCTCCCCCAAGCAGAGTCTGTGTGGGTCCGGAAGGCACACACTTGTTAACAGCAGCCTGAGTTGCACAGAATTAGGAAGAAATTTTTGTTTAAAAAAGGAAAGCCAGTTATTTCTCCAAAGACAAACAGAAATAAAATGTACTATCTCCAGACTGCTGGTCTCCACCATTAGCCAAGATCCTCTCCTCTCTCTGGCTCTCCTGCCCACCCTCTCAGCTCCCCTTGCTCTGCCCCTGGGACACACTCTGTCCTATGTCCCCACACACTGGCCAGGAGCCTGGGGCCCGGCACGGCGCTCAGAGGAGGGCAGGGTGGCATGGATTGTCGTCGTCCTCTGGACGCTAAGGCCTTCCTCGAGGCTGTCAGAGCCAGTCGTCAGAAGACGCCGAGATGGAAGCTGTAGCGATCGTTTGGGGAAAAGGGCTGAGGTCCATCCTAAGAGATCTCCTCCTATATCTCAAATTTATCCCATTTTCTCCCATGAACCCAGATATTGTTGCCAAACTTAAAGGGTTTGTTGAGAGAGACTTCTCAGAAGCCCCTTCCTTCACCCAGCCCCTGGCTGATCACACCACCACCTCCGGCTACAGCACCCAGCTCTCCTGCAGCGTGCGAGCATCACCCAAGGTGAGGGCAGGCCCGGCTGTGCCTCAGGGGCAGTGGACAAGCAGGGCGGTGGGGCTGAGGAATCTGGCCTGGGAGAGCCCGTCCCAGCCCACAGCCTGCCCAGCCTCCCTGTGGCCCTGCTCCCCAGCCCAAGATCATCTGGATGAAGAACAACATGAACATCCAGGGGGACCCCAAATACCGCACCTTCTCTGAGCAAGGCGTCTACACCCTGGAGATCCGGAAACCCAGCCCCTTTGATTCTGGGGTCTACACCTGCAAGGCCGTCAACATGCTGGGGGAGGCGTCTGTGGACTGCCGGCTGGAGGTCAAAGGTGAGGGCTGGAGGAGGGTCTCCTGAGGGACCTGCCATGGGGGAGAACAGGAGATGCACCTCTTCTCCTGCGAGACTAGCGGAGGCTGAGCCCTGAAAACCCGCAGGACGGGGCACTGCGATCGCGGCGGGGCTGTCAGAACTGTCCACGCTCGGGAGGGTGGCCTATATGGGCAGAGGAGGAGGAGTGTCCGCCTGGGAGGTGGCCACGAGCTGCTCTGGTTTCTCCACCCCCAACCTGGTCCCCAGAGGACCCCCCAGCTCTAACCTGTGGGATCTCTTCCAGCCTTAGCCACACACTGAGGAGCATGGAGGAGGCTGTGATGGAGACACAGGTAAATGCTGGACCTGCTCCCGGGGCTGCATCTGGGCAGGGGCGGGGCAGGTGAGAAGGGGAGGGGCAGTCAGCGTGGGCACAGCTCTGCAGTCACACAATCCAGAGACGGGGGCAGCAGGCAGGCAGGGCAATGCTGGTGGGGCCTGGGGGCGGTGACTTGGTGGAAGGTCCAGTCCTGGCTCTGAGTGACCTGGGACTGGGGTGCCCTCTTGGACCTGTTTCTCGTCAGAAAAGTGGGGCCCACAGCGCGTGCCCACCTTCTCTGTGAGGTGGTTCTTAGGTGCTGGACGGGGGGAAGTGGCAGAGCCCAGACGCGAGGAGGGAGAGAGGGCCTGCTTTCCCTGCCCTCCTCACCCCTCAGCCCAGTTTACCAAGACCAGGGTCATGGAACGTGTTCTCTGCCAGGTGCTGTGGGCCTGAGGGGTCAGGGCCGCCAGGCCCATATCCGGCGCCATGAGTCTCCAGACCCCTCTCTGTTGTGATGACGGACAGACAGCTCTGCTCCCTGGCCCCAGCCTCACCTCCCTCCACCCGAGGCTGCGGCCCAGTGCCCAGGAGTGGGCCTGGCAGCCCCCGGGACAGGATGACTGGGCACAAAGCCCTGGACGGAGCAAAGATTGCTGTGCCCTGCAAAGAGCTGCATGCTGGGCAAGAACCAGTCCAATAAAGGTGCATGTGTACCGCCGGGGACTCTGACAGTGATGATTGTCTGGGGGGAGGCACCGTGTCACTGCAAAGCGGTGAATGCATCGCCATTAGGGGTCTCCCCATGGGACCCCACGCGCAAGGTCCACGGGAGGGGACTCGGGAGTCAGGGGGTTTCTTGACCTGAGATGTTTCAGGATCTTGCTCTCACGTTCAGGACTTGCCAGCCCAAGCCAATAGCTGTAAGAACACACGCCCCCCTCGCGGGAACCGGGGGGAACCGGGGGGCACGTTGCCCGGCTCCCACTCCTTGACCTCCCCAGGGAGTCCTCTCTGCGAGGCTGTCTGTCGCCCTCCGAGTGGCGGTGGGTGCCTAGCAGTGGCTCTGCATGTGGATTCACAGTCTTTTATTAGTCATGTGCCCCCTGGGAGCAGGGCACAGCACCTCTGAGAGAGGCAAGGGCCTGGAATCAAGGCCTGGAGTCGCTACTCACACAGAATCCGCCCCTCCACCCTCTGCACCAGGACCCTGAGCCCGGCAGGGGTGGCTCTTCCCCAGAAACCCCGAAACCCTCGGCTCTGCAGGAGACCCCACAGCCCCTGAAAACCGGGCTGCATGCCAGGGCCCTGGGGGTAGTTAAAGGCCAGCAGGACCTTCCCGCCTCCTCTCTCAGGGGTTGGGTCCTCTGTCTGGCTCCGGCCTGTCACCCCCCATCCCAGGAGGCCCCGTCAGCCACTCCTGGCCCACCCCTCAGCAGGAGGCACAACTCTCTCGAGAGCTGACGGGTCTCCGTCAGGCCCAGGAGCAGCAGGGAAGGTGCTGCTTAGGAGAGTCCCGGCCTGTCTGGGGGCAGGTGCACCTGCTGGGCTGGTCCTGGATGACAGGTAGTCACACGCCAGCTTCCTCCTGGGGACGCTCAGTGCTGCCACCTGATGGCTGGGTGAGGCCCACACCACCACTCCCTACTGGCTGCTGGGCTCCAAGCCCCCACCAGGCTCCAAAGGCTGGTGCAGAATAAAGCGAACGTTGGAAATGACGTCTGCGCTGGCTCTTCCTACCTCCCTCTCAAGTACAGTCTTGGGCTGCTCAGAGCAAGGGGGTGGCACCGTGGCACCCAGCGTGGCTGGGAGCCTGGGGCTGGGGAGGTTGGGCCTGAGGCTCCTTCATGGCTGCCCCTCACTGGCTCGGGCCACCTTCTCCTTCAGAGACAGCATCTTCTTCACGCATCTTGGAGGGGATGTCCTCCCTCCTGAGGCCTGGTCCCAGGCTGCAGGGTCACAGCCGCTGAGACGAGAGCGCCCCCACCTGCAGGACCGGAGATGGCCTCCCCGCCGCGGGGCCCTTTGCCTGAAGCAGGGGCTGCCCAGGGACAGGCAGCAGGTGGGGTGGCTCAAGCCACTTCCCTCCTTCCCTCAGGTTGCCTGGTTTCCCCCCATGGACGGCCCCCACACCCCCGGCCCGGCCGGGGAGGCCCATGGAGACAGTTAGATGGTGGGGAGTGAGGGCCGCGCTGAGGTGCTCTGGCTGTGGGCAGGGAGAGTCTAGTCATCCGGCCTCTCTTCCGGGGGGCCCTCGTCCACGGGGGGTGCGGGCTGGCAGCGGAAATGGTCGTTCCAAATCTTGAGGAAGGTGACCCGGAACTTCTGGATGCGGAAGGCGTAGACGATGGGGTTCATGGCGGAGTTGCCGTGCGTGAGGAAGATGGCGATGTAGGTGAGCAGGCTGGGCTTGTGGCAGCTCGGGCAGAAGAGGGTGATGCAGTTCAGGATGTGCAGGGGCAGCCAGCTGAGCGCGAAGAGGAGGAGGATGAGCGCCAGCGACTTGGCGATCTTCAGCTCCTTCCCGTAGTACTTGTGCGGGTCGCCCGAGGAGGCCGACACCTTCTTGCTGAGCTGCCGGCGGATCAGGTAGAACACCTCCAGGTAGACGAGTGCCATGAGCAGCAGTGGCGGCAGCACCCAGACGAAGAAGTTGAAGTAGACCATGTACTCCATGCTGATGACCTTCTCAAACTCGCACTTGATCACGGGCTCCCCAGCGCTGCCGTTGGCCGCCCAGGCCCGCTGCACCGCACCCAGGTTGTTCCAGCCAAACATGGGCGTCAGGCCCACCACGAGGGAGAGGATCCAGCAGCCGGCGATGGCCACCGCGGCCCTGCGGGGCGTCACCACCGTCTTGTACCTGGGGAGGGAGGGCAGTGTGAGTCCCCGTGAGGCTCCCCGACCTCCCCCCACAGAGGAGGCCACCCCTGCCAGGGCCCAGGGAGCGGGGAGTGTGTGTCTTTGGCTAAAGTGCCAATTTCTCAGGATCTGAGACTTGGACACACACTGGCTCACCTCTCTTGGTTGATGATAGAAATCATAACCAAAAGCAGAGGACGCTCTTTAGGAGTTTTAATAAAATCACCAAAGTGAAATCGCCGTGTGTGCTGGGCGAGTCCCCTGGTGGCCTCATCCCTGTTTCATGACCCCTCGTGGGTGGGAAGCACCAGCAGGTGAAGACGTGGAGGTCCACAGTGCCCTGCGACCGGCCGGGGCTTCCCCACTCCTGTCCCCACTGGCCACTCAGCCACTGGGGCACAAGCCACCTCCACGGGCGGCAACACTCAGGAAGCATCCACACCCTCCTCTGGGCTCGTCCACTCCCCGGCCAGCCCCCCATCGCCCAGCTCCTCCGCCCACCCTTCCCCTCCCCTCCCCGTCACTGCACACGGCTTGGCCTCAAGAACCAGCTGTGCACGCCCGGGCCCCTTGGGAATGGCTCTCGGGAGAGAAAGCTGTGCTCATGTCCAGCAAGCTCTGCGTGCTGTGGGTCCCGGGCACTGCTCTCTGCAGGGAGTGAGACAAGGACCCGCCTCTCTCAGCTCACCTTTGGGAGAAGACACAGAGAACACAAAAGGAGGAGATAAGGCAACAGGCAGCTGCAGGCTGTGACCTGTCCTTGAAAGGAAACGCAAGGGAAGATGTTGAGGGAACGAGGTTTCACATGACAGGACACACGCACGATGTAAACATGTGGATGATACAGAATCTACCGAGGTGACGACCGGCACCCCCCACTGAGGCCGAGGGTGTCCATGTCCCCACTTCCCGTGAAGCAAGCCCGGCCAGCAGCCAGCGTGTCCTCTGGCCACACACGGCCTCGGAGAAGGAGCCAAAGGCCGGGCCCCGCTCCGCGCGAGGAGCTGGCTCAGCACAGCGGCCCGTGGTTATTTTCCAAAGCGGCTTCCAAGCCAGCGCTGGCTGCCCCGTGAGCCTGTAAACAGCTACTGGGACCCAGGGTGTGAGGGGCTCCCTCCAGCTGCTTCTCTTCCCGTGCCCGTGGCTCTCGCCTTCCCAGCGATGACGCCCAAGGCCCTTCCTCCTGGGGCCTTTCCACCCACCACGGCCCCCTGTTCCCCGAAGGCTTCACAGGAAGGGGAGGGGAGGGGCGGTTTGGGGTGGGAGGAATCTGCAAAGCGAGGTGGATGGGACCCTCATTTCTAATCTCCTTATCTTTCTGGTGGGGACACTGAGGAGCCCAGGTGACTCCCCCTCCTCCCCTCCCCTGTGTCCCCACAGCACAGCCCTGAGGGCTGCCCCACTGGCCACGCCTGCCTGGGGTTCTCTTCGCCTGCACCTTTGCTCTGCTACAGCTGAAGCCGTTGCCTCCACGGGGACCCCAGCAGGAAGGCCCGCCTGGGGCATATGCTGGAAGGAGACCAAGTTTGGCCCCCAAGTCTGCAAGCTACTACATCAACTCCTCCTCTGAGAAATGGGCCCGCGGGACCCACGTCAGAGGGTGAGGACCCGATAACACGTATAAACACCCCCCAGTATTCCTGGGCCTGGGCTCCCACACCTCCAAGCCCCTTGAAACATTCCCACCGGGAACCCTCTGGGATCGCAAGGTGCTCAGCAAACGCAAGCTCTGCCAGCATCTGGCTCAGGCTTGTTCCTGAGACTTCGAGTGTCTCCAATGTCCCCAAGAAGCTTGGCCATGAGTCTATGGGGCCAGACCAAAGGGCACAGATCATCCCGTGGAGAGAGAAGAAGGCGGAGGGACACAGAGACCCGGGCACCACCCACATCTGCAGGGTTTATAGCGCGTTTATTGTCGACAAGCCCTTTTACATTCATGCCTCAGGGAACCCCGTAGCATCCTGGGAGGAGCCCCAATTTCAGATTCAAGACCCAGAGGCGGCCATCGTGTGCCATGTCTCCTGCTCTGAGACCCGCTCTCCTCAGGGCGACAGCTGCCTGGGCTGTTTGGATGCAGGATGATCGGCAGAGCGAGAAGGTCCCTTTCCTACAAGTTCACACGTGGGAACGGCTGGCCCCGTTCTAAGAAGAACCTCCAGAGATGGGGGTGGGCCATGAGGACCCACCGAGAGAGGAGGTGGTACTGACAGTGTCCAGGTGGGAGGCGGCGGGGAGGCCACTCCTAGTGAGAGAGGGCCCCCCTCCCTTCCTGACTTCCTGGAGCCCCTAAATCACCTTGTTCCTGGGCTCCTCCAGGGCCAGGTCCCAGTAGACCCTGCAGCCAGGGTATCAGTTCTCATCTGTTTTTCTTGCTATTTTCTCCATGGTGGGAAAAGGCCGGACGCAGGACCTTGGCTGAGGTGGGGCAGGCTCTCCCAGGAAGGGCTGCCTCTCCCACCCCACCCCCCGCCGGCTAGGGAGCAGCCCCCCTCTCCTCCACGTGGGAGAGAAAAGCGGAGGGTGCACAGAGGGTGAGGCACGCTGATGTGCCTCCGACACTCGGGGTGTCCCTCCCAAATCAGGGTGCAAGGCCTGGCCACCTCGGGGCTGTGCTGGGAACTAGCCCTCGAGGAGAGACGAGCGCTGCCCTCAGGAGTGAGCTGCCCAGCCGAGGGGGAGCCACAGGAGGCAGTGACACTCCCAGTGGGGCCCTGTCCACAGGCAGCTCCTTGAAGATACTATCAAAGGGACGGCCCAGCACCTCCAACCCCTCAGGGCCTGAGACCCACACTGCGAGCCTGTGCTTCGGGCTGAGAGCTGCCCTCTCTGTTATTCTTAGAAGCAGAGATAACTCCAGCTCCACGGCATGAGTCAACCTACTAGTATCTCCTGTCGAAGATCAACGTGGAAGGACAGTGGGGGAAGGGAGGGCAGAGCCTGAAGGAAAGGCGGGGGAGGGGGGTCCCCGATGCCGAGAGCGAGTCTGGCTGGAGGGGAAAGTCGTTCCCACTGTAGCTGGTGCCAGAGCAAGTGAAAGGCTCAGAAATGGGGTTAGAGGCCAAGACTATAAACCCTGGGGCTCCAGGAAGAGTGACTGGTGAGGAGGGGGCCAGAGTGGAAGGCGGGGCCACAGGTGTGATTTGGGTTGGTCACCCAGGGCTGGGCGGGTCACTGTCAAGGTTCTGGGGTTTGTTCTAAGCCCTACAGCCCCTTTGCTGGGCCGAGGACGGAGGAGCGGCTGGAGCACGTTGATCCTGAAGCCCTGCTCTGCGTCCCATGGTCTGAGCCCCCATGGTGGCATTTCCCCGGCTCGTGAGCCAGGTGGGTCCTCGGGAGGCACTGCAGTGCCCACGGGAAGGGACAGAAGCCAGGACAGTTCCTCCCTCTCTGTCACCGAGGCCACGGGTGCCAGGCAGCAGCTGTGTCTCCTCCTTGGCTCCACCTCCCACAGGGAGGCCACCACATTGCAGCCCTGGGGTCCCAGACCCGCCTCCCCCTGCGCCCTGCGGCATCGGGGACCCCCCTCCCCCAGGGTGGGGTCGCCTGCTGGTGGTGCCGACCTCTGCTCCTCGCTGACCCTGCCTGGCTTCGGGTGCTTCATCACGGCTGTGGCCAATTTCAGGCCTCAAAGGCCTTCCGTGGAAACACCTACATGATCCCCGTGTTCCTGGTTCGGCCCCAAAGGTTCGGCACAACACTGGAGCGGGAAGAACTGAGTAGTCACCACAGAGGACTTCCTGCCAGCGAGGACTGCCAGCCTCTTCGTAGATTTGTGTTGACTCAGAAGGAAAGAGAGAGAATCGTACAGGGGGTTGGGAAAGGCATGGGGTGAGGAAGCGACCAGCCAACTGCTGAAACCCGGGCAGGGCCCCAAGGCCTGGCCGTCCTACGCTTCCCTGTCGCCGACTCCCGCAAGGAGCCCACGGCTGGGTGGGCGTCGGGGGCAGCACCCTCTGCTGCTCTGAGGCTTGGGTGGCACCGGCTGAACCCTGTCTGGCCTCCTCTTCGCTGGCGTCTGAGGTGGAGGCTATCATTGCTCCCGTCCTCTCCCCCTGCCTCCCTCCTCGGCAGGGATCTCAGCCACTTGTAACTGAAAACCTGGACCTCAGGACCAGGAAGTAAGGCTTTCAGACCATTAAACTACTTCCTGCCAAGAAATTCTTCCTCCCCGAGGAGCACAGGAAACCAGATACAATCAAGGGCATCAGGGGCTCTGGCACACTCCAGGGGCCACGTCTTCAGCATTAATTTTGCCCAGAGGAGTGTGGGTGAAGGGCCCAGGAGGGGCTGGACGTCTGGGCCCCGAGATCCGGCTGAGAATCCCTCTGCCTGGGCCCCGTGGCATCGCCCGGCGTCTGGGAATGTCTGCGCCACGTCCCCAAGGGCACCTCCTGACCCGGCCAGCACCCAGCGCTACGGGAGGGAGGGCCCTGGGCTCCATGAAGGAAGGAGCAGTTGTGTCACTAGGCTCTTCGTGTCATGGGCCTTGGAAGTCGCTCCTGCTCACTTGTGAGGACAAATAACCCACGAGCTGGCGGGAAAGACCAGCCTCTGTGGGTGCCTCCCCCACCCTTTCCGACTCAGTTTCTGGTCCTTTCCTGCCCCTGGGCATCTGGGAGGAGCAGAAGGAAGACAGCCCTGCTCAGGGAGCCCTGTCCGATGGAGGCACAGCCCCTGCGGGAAGGGAGCTCCCAGGGGAGGGCCAGCTGGTGCGGAAGCATCTGAGGCCACACCCCCCTCAGAGGTCGCACAGGTACTGCCCTCACAGGTGCCTTGTCCCTGGTGCTCCCACTCGCACAACGAGGGGCTTGGGTTTGCTCAGAAGTTCTGACCCAGAGGAGTCCACAGGGAGAGGTGCTGGGAGGAGGTTCTCTGACCCCGAGGCCGGCTGCAGGCCCCACATCCCAGGGGCCGGCGGTCCTGGGGGAAGAGGGCGTCTGACCCGGCAGTTACCTCGGGACACTTCCTGCTCGGAGACCTGGCTCTCTCCAGCCCCAGCAA